AAAAAAAAAAAAAAAAAAAAAAAAAAAAAAAAAAAAAAAAATCCACCGAGGGGAAAAAAACCTGTATCATTCCCAGAAAGAAAAGAACACGATTGCAGAATGAAATGATTTTTGGATAACGCTTCAAGGCCACTCCAGCCCACGCTCATTCTCCCACCCGGAGCCCTCCACCCTTTCCAAGCTCACTCCCACCACAGCCTCGCTGCAGCCATGCCATTTCCTATCTTCTCAAGAAAGCCTGTCGTGGGCAGAGACCATGCCTTGAAGTCCCCCAGGAACCAGACTGAACAATCATGAAAACCAAGACGACAGCTGATAATGGCTGCCGGACAAACTCCTACACATCCTGTAAGACCCGCTGCAAATGTCCTCTCCTCTGTGAAGATTCTTCCCCGAGAGGAGCAGCCTCTCCCTCCACCTGTGTGGATGGTTTACGTGTCTTGTGGTGGCACCTCCAAGAGAGCCCCCTGGGCCCCTCACCTCCGGGCGTTCTTGAGCACGTGGGGCCCCTCCCGCTACGTGTGGACAGAACCTCAGGTCCCACTTGTTCTGGATACAGCAGAAGTGACGAGATACCACTTCCGAGACTGGGTTACAAAAAGAGACCTTGGCTCTTCCTCGCCTGTTCACGCTTCCTCGCCCAGAAGCCGTGCTTTGAGGGAAACGGCTGTCACCTGTGAGCTCTGCTCGAGGAGAGGCCCTCGTGACAAGGGACAGCCAGCAAAGACCCCAGGCCCAGTGACAGAGAGCACATCATCGGCCCCGGTCGAGCCTTCAGATGATGGCCGACCCAGTCAACATGTTGGGTCTCTGCCCAGGAGAGACCCTGCACCCAGCACCCGGCTCAACCGTGCCTGATTCCCTGCCCACAGGACTGCATGGCCCTTCCTTCTGGAATCATTTGTTTGGCAGCCACATATCAAGAGTACAGTGCCCCTCCCACAGCGAGACTGAGAGCACCTTGTCCTAGTGCCTAGGGGGCGGGGAGGATGGGCCTGGTCGCTAGGAAAGGCCCTCTGAGAAGGTGGCTTCCACTCAAGGTGTGCAGGGTATGATGGCCCTGCCATGACAACATCTCGGGGAAGTACTCAGAGAAAGACAGCTGTAAAGATGAGGCCCTAATGCATTCCCAAATGCAAGCTGGTGCAGCCACTCTGGAAACAGTATGGAGGTTCCTCAAAAAACTAAAAATAGAACTACCCTACGACCCAGCAATTGCACCACTAGGCATTTATCCAAGGGATACAGGTGTGCCGTTTCCAAGGGACACATGCACCCCCATGTTTATAGCAGCACGATCAACAGTAGCCAAAGTATGGAAAGAGCCCAAATGTCCATCGATGGATGAATGGAGAAAGCAGATGTGGTCTATATATACAATGGAGTATTACTCGGCAATCAAAATGAATGAAATCTTGCCATTGGCAACCTCGTGGATGGAACTGGAGGGTATTACGCTAAGTGAAATTAGTCAGAGAAAGACAAAAATCCTATGACTTCACTCGTATGAGGACTTGAAGAGACAAAACAGAGGAACATAAGGGAAGGGAAACAAAAATCATATAAAAACAGGGAGGGGGATGAAACAGAAGAGACTCACAAATATGGAGAACAAACTGAGGGCTGCTGGAGGGGCTGTGGGAGGGGGGAGGGGCCAAATGGGGGAGGGGCACTGAGGCATCTACTCCTGAAACCAGCGTTGCGC